AAGTACTGTTCGATCTTTGTTTAATAATTATAACTAGTGGAGTAATTAAAAAAAATGAATATCATGGTGGTGAAGCATTCTGAATTTCAATAAAAAGTTTACATTTACATACATTACAATTTAAAGTGACATTACTTGTCAGCGGCTGGCAGCTGTAAAGGTACATCGCTGAGTGAAGAAAAACTTTCATAGATTTCTCACAGATGGCGCTACTGTAGAAAAGTCACTAAAAACCAAAATAAAGATCTTTTATGTTTGTTGGTGTTCTTTGTATAATTTGTATTTTTTTAACGGCTTTAACTGTATGACAATAGAGACTGGTTCGAATGCAGTTAGATCGAAGGATTCTTTGTTTTCTATCTCGACTTCTTTAAAAGTAGTAGAACTCCTTGTGCAGAAAAAGTTTTTCTGCCGTCAAGCAATAAATATGAGCATTACTGTGATTCGGTTTTGAAGAGTAACACGAGACTAATTAACTTATGTCTCAGAGTGACGGGCGCAGCGGTAGCGCCCCTCAGATCTTTGTGATTTAAAGCTCTGAACGGCAATGCAACTGCTATGGACAGGCGTGTCGCCTACCACCAGGCGCAGGTGCTCGTCCCGTTACTTAATATCATAAAAAAACTTTATGTCAATAATGGGAACAAACTAGTAAAGTATTTTCCTAAAAAATGTATGAAAATCATGGTAATAAAACATCGTGATATTCAATAGATATCATTAATTCTTTTTTCACGCTACAGGGTGGGTCTTCGAGCTATTGTGTACTACATGACGACAACGGTATGCGCTGTTATGCTCGGCATTGTTCTGGTCACCACCATCAAGCCTGGCAAGGATCCTGACTACAAACAACCGAATGTCACTAAAGTGATCAAAAAGGAGACGCTCACTACTGACACGTTGCTCGATTTGATCAGGTAAGTTACCTTCATATAATTGTTCACCGATTTAAAAAAATCTGTTATTGGTGCAGCACTAAATGTCTCAATGTGTTATTGTGCCCTTGTGTTAATATCCTATTAAGGTGCCTGCACATTTGCTCGATTTTTTGACGATCGACACGCGTCGATCTACAATAAGAAGAATTATAACTTCTTTATTAAAAAAACCGACCTCAAAATTTGCTGATCAGTATATTACTATTATTAGCCAAGTTTCAGAAAGAAAGAAAGAAAAGATATTTATTTGATCTCGTTACAAAAAAGAAAAAACTTTTAATGTAGCTTAAACTAAATACCCAGAGAACCAAAAAGGTTCTCAGCTCAACTCAACTCAGCTTGTGCCGGGTTGCTCAGGGAAACAGACCGGCCCTGATATTCTGTGACCATCATGTTTTATTGGAATCGGTTAACAGAAAATGGATGAAATACAATAAACTGGATTCATTCCCTTGGAGATGGGATATTTTCTTCAAATGTAAATGAGACCACTTCTGAGGTATCGATTGTCTGTTTTTAACACATTTATTCAATTTTGTCTGACCACACACGTTGATCGACAAAAAATACGATATCGATCGTTTGTTGCTCATTTTCTTTAGTCACACGTGTCAATCGTCAAAAAATGGTGCAATTTGTTGGCACATTTAGATAGCAACACCAAATACGAAGACTAAGGCATAAGGTAAAATTCCTCTCCTAATGAATTTGCGTCGCATCACTTCATTTTGCATCTAATTCCAGGCCGGATGGTTAAATTAAGGATATCATATAACACTTGTGATCTCGCAACGTCGCAGGCCGCGAATTCTACAAAACATGATACCTTATAATTATGCCCCGGCAATTAAAGGAATTGACTATCGGGTCAGAGAGTGATGTAATGCAACACGTTGCAGTGTCTCTGGAATTACTTGTATGTCGTCCGATTATTTCCTAAGCTACCAGACGTACGCACTAGAACTATTATAGGGCTTTCGTCTCGGGAATTTCGAGGGTCTCGATGATTTTTTTGGCTTCTTTTCTTCTTGTAAAGTCAATGACAAAAACTAATAAACTACCAAACCAGTGTTTGCAATTTGTAATTGTCTACTTATGTGTGTGTTCATGACACTCGCGATACAGGGTTTCCCTAGTGCAGGGCTATAAGTGTGTGCGTTATCTCTATGCCCCTATCTGTTGCCTTAAGCAGGTCTTCGCGGGTGCAGCTGGTCGGACACAGTGGGTACGAGAGCAAGTGAGACATACTTTGTGTGGAGAGCCCGCAAGCACAATGGTTTTGAGTCGGGTTGATATATCGCCATTTCACCATGTTGCCTCTATCCAACTTATGACCTGCAGTGATGCCAATTTGTGGGGATTTTCCCAAATTGCTGGGAATTTTACTATGTGGGGAAATTGCAGGGATTCTAACGTTTCATCGCTTTGTTTAATCTATCGATTGCAGATGCATCGCTAGTTTGATGGTTACTGATGAAAACACTGTGATGAACAATATCGATATTTTTGTCAACATCGCAAATCCCCGACTTCCATAGCAACATATACAAAATTATAAATAGAATTATTAGCAAACCGCTTATATAGAATTATTGGGTAAGATCAGAGCAATTGGTTCTGAATTGTAAAATGACCAGTCGGTGCGTGTTAAGTGCACGACTCTTCCTCCGGCTTAATCCGGTTCCCGGTTTCCAAATTGACCACTGCAAATTTTTTGCCATGAAAATTCAAGACTCGAGTCTGATGTTTTCGGTCTCATGAATATCGAGACTTAAGTCACTTAATTAAACAGTTGAAAAATCTACTTAACCAATAGTCACTTTTTGTTCAGGTTACATGTGACTGATGAGACATGGCAACACTGTAGAGTGGCACTTAGTATAATCTATGAAGATTGAAGAAAGCAATAAAATCAGCTCTCTATCTGTAATTATATTTGCTTCTCACGTACGTGTTAGAAAAATAAAAGCTTTCTAAATAATTTTATACAGAATTGAATTAAAATATAAAGTTTTCACTGCCTAAATGCGTAACCTATAAGTATGGAAAGCTACTTTTTAATAAATAGTCTCGCATGTAGAAATGCCTGCGTTGTTTTGGGCGCAATTTCATGCACTCTTGGCTCCATTTCAACTTCACAAGAGTAGTATAAATGTGCTCTAAGAGCTGCAATAAACGATTAACGCCGTACTAGCGCTCTTATAGAGATGTTTTTGGGAAGTAGGGAACAATTCCATGCAACACAAATGCAATTGTGTCAATGAAATATAAATTAGTGAAAAGTTTCTTATTCGGCTATCATTATTATATTATTCAAGATATCAATTAAGGAATTTCAAACAAAAACCGACAAATCCGATAAATTTCGATTTCAGTTTCGTCTAGTCGCATGTGCAAACCGTTAGGCTACTGAAGTCGTCAAAATTAATTTTCATAATAATTTAATTTTAATTACAATTAAGATAGACTGAATAAAGATTTAGGGTATGATGGTATGGTAATCGGTCTCGGTAGCTCAAAAACGTAAGCGAAAAAGGCGATGTCATTAACATGTTGAAGATGAGAATTGTTTACATACAATAAAATCACTTAAATATCATTAAATCAAATAAACGACCACTTTGCCGGTGCAGAAATTTAGCATAGAGTTTACGTCTATGACTTTGAAAATAAACGAATAAAAGACGCGTGGGCATCCTGCAAACAAAGGTATTATTTAATATGCCATAATTCAATCTGCGCGTTTAGTAGATAAATCTTCATATACTTATTCTCTTAGCGTGTATAGTATTGACATTTCAATGCATTCATTACTAATGTGGATGAAATCTAGAGGTAAAGAACAAAAAACTAAATGTTATATTTTTTTTATAAACTGTAATACCATTATGTCGGGTTTCAGTGTTTGTTGAACAGAGTAATTTAACGAACAACAACAACCTATAAAACAAACAAACAACCATAAAAAGTAGCAAAATATAATAGAATTCGTAAAGAAACATGTGATCATACGTCAAAAGTGTTTTTATCTTAATCTCTTCAATTTAAGCATAAAAAGTTATCGACTAATTTCGTTCGTAGAATCTATAGACCTTTCTACTGAAAAATTGTCGTTTTTGCAGTGTGCCCTTGTTATACCAAAGGTGCAATAAAAACGTTTATTTCATTTCTCATGCTCTAAAAGTACGTCAATATTATAATATACTATAATTATAGTCATTTAAACCTTATGGAGTAAAAAGTACTTAGTTTTATAATTCACTTCGAATGACCTAGACAAATTCAAACAGCCAGGGGGCCCACCATAACTTTTAAAAAAACAATCTTATTTCGAAAGAACGAATGATTTCCCAATATTGTCTATTTCTTACTAAAAATAAGAAAAAAATAACGCTATATGAACTGTATAATGCCATCTCTTTCTTTTTTGATGTTCCGAATTGTCATATCGTAGTATAATGTTAGAGTACTTATATATTATTTACATTCGGAGAGTTTCAACTATCACAAAAAGAAAAGTATGTAATAATGAAATTTATTAATATTATGTTGTTTTCAATTATTTTTTCGCATTTTCATGAAGAAAAATAAATAAAACAAGCTTGATTGTTATGTTGTGAAGTCGGAATTATAGTCTAGTGTCAACTGTTAGTGTCGCCAAGGAGCATATATACGTCGCTGTCATAATTTTACGAAATAAACATCGCGTATTTTATTTAACGAGAAATTATTTCCTATGTACTATTAAATAAAAAAATAAACAAAATATTGAAGAGATATATGTAAATAAATAAGTTTAACTTAACTTTTAATCATTACAAATCAATATTTAGACAATAAAATCGAAAATAATATTGTTTCCATTGCATCCGTGTAACTATTTTAAGATTGCTAAATTTCACATAAGAACAATATTACTTTAATATCAAAGTCGCGTCATAGTATGAACTGAGTGAATGAATGGTCACAAAGCTGCCAATAAAATATCATAGTTTTAACATTATAATAGGCTTACTTTTAGCGCATCATGGTACGAAAAGTCAATGTAAGGTTAAAGTAATATTGTTTTAAGAGGTTGTGGTAGGCCCCCAGTACTGTTAGTATTTGTCAGCCAATATTTGCCTTATATACTAAAACTAAAAGAACACTTCAAAATAATCGCAAAAATAAAAAAATAGAATTATAATTTAACGTCATAATAATTTCACATCATATTAATTTATATTTATCAAAGTAAATAAACCTTTAGTTTCATAGCGGAAAGTCAATAAAAAAATGCTTGTGTAAAAAGAACGTTATGTTCTCAGACTACGCTTGGTTAGTGCGTTTGTGTATTGACCATTTTAGTGACGCGACGTAGCACTTAAAGCGGTTGGTTACACTCGCCTGATTTTAAGCCGCGATGCAAATGCGCGATTGCATCGTTACACTTGGGATCTATAGGCGATTGCATCGATGCAATCGCGCGTTTGTATCGATGCAGTCGCGTGTTTGCATTTGACTGTCACAGTACTCCACCACAAGTTACTCCACCTTGCACCTTTGCTCTCACCTCCTTGGATGGGCTGGAAGAGATCTCTTTTCGAGCTAATTCCACTTTCTTCATCTTTACTCACAATCACCGGTTTGCTGGAAGATGTTGGTTCGAATCCTTGTAATCTTTGTATTAATAATTATAACTAACTAGTGGAGTAATTTCACAAAAATAATTGAAAATCTGGTGGTCAAGTATCGTGACTTCCTTAATTTAAAATTTTAATAAGTGAAACTTACAATTATATTATGAATGTTAAATCAATGCAAACTAATGGTAGAGACAGGTATGTAGTTAGAGTCAATTGCAGAGAAGCAGCGCCCGCGCCGGTTCCCTGCTCGTCACTCTTCATCAGGCCGGGTTTATTTATACTTCGCCCTACATACATACACCACACTTACGATAGGGTTGACAAATATTCAGAAATTAGATGCACTACGCAACA